GACACAGGAGGAGAGGAGGGTGAGGGAGATGCGGTCCCCACACCCCTCCACCACCGCAGGGCTCAGCGGGCCGCCTCGCCAGGCCCCAGTCAGCGATCTTCTCTGGCCTCGTCCACCTCCTGGGCGACAGCGAGGTCACCGCAGCACTCACCATGGTCGCGGACACTCCTGGCAGGCACACGCTCCTGTTCTCCTTGTAGAAGACCTCACCGACCGTCATGGAGGATTGCTGTGGATCTATGACCCACAGGGCCACTGGGCAGGAGGCCACGCACACCTGGGGGCCGAGAACGCACTGAGGGGCTGAGCCCCGTGACCTGGGCAGGCGTGGCAGGGCAGGGCCTGGCTCTCACCTGGGGCGTGGGGCACTGCAGGTTGCCTTGCGTGGCCGAGATGATGTTGGCGCCCAGGACACAGCGGAAGATGTTGAAGTACAGGAGGTAGGGTTTGTCTCTGCAGGGAGAACGTGCGTGTGTCAGGGCCACACACGGGGGTGACTAGGTCACTGGCTCTGAAAGAGTCAGTTACGGAGCCCAGGCCCCTCCTAGCAGCTTTATGATCAAACACATGTCACTTAACAGTTCTACCTTGGTCCCAGCCTATATTTTGTTTGTTTTCTGATTTTTTTTTTTTTTGGTACTAGGGATGGAACTCAGGATCTTGTACTTGTGAGGCAGGTGCAGTGCCACTGAGTTAAATCCCTGGTTGGTCTCAGCTTGTATAAAATGACAGTAGTTCCTGCTGGGCATGGTGGTGTACACCTGTTATTCTAGCACTCTGGGATGCTGGGGCAGGAAGATAGAAAGCTCCAGCTCAGTCTGGGTGACTTAGCAACTCTGTCTTACAATAAAAACTGTTTTAAAAGGGCTGGGGATGCAGCTGGTCATGGTGATGCAGGCCAGTAATCCCAGAACTAGAGAGGCTGAGGCAGGAGGATCTTCACAAGGTCCAGGCCAGCCTGGACTGCATAGGAGACCCTGTCTCAAAAAAAACAAACAAACAAAGCAAGGGCTAGGGATGTAGCTCAGTGCAAAGGTGCTGGGTTCCATCTCTAGTACTGAGGGGGAAAAAAAAGACAGTACCTATCTAATGAAATTTTATTTATTTTTAATTTTATTTTTTACTGGGGATTGAACATTCAGCTACATCCCAAGCCTCTTTTATTGTGTGTGTGTGTGTGTGTGTGTGTGTGTCCCCTTGAGACAGGGTCTTACTATGCATCATCTACATCAAGCCTCTTTTATTGTGTGTGTGTGTGTGTGTGTGTGTGTGTCCCCTTGAGACAGGGTCTTACTATGCAGTTCAAGTTGGACTTGAACTCACTATGTATCCGTGGCTGGCCTTGAACTCAAGGCAATCCTCCTGCCTCAGCCTCATCAGTGCTGGCGTTACAGGCCTATGCCACCATGCCTGATGATTTTTTTGGAAGGCAGCTAGGCTCACCACTATAACACCAACACTTGTCCTGATGATATTTTTGGTTTGTTTTGGAGATGGTCTCATTAAATTGATACACTGCCCAGGCTGGGCTGGAATTTACAATCCTTCTGCCTCAGCCTCCCAGAGCGCTGGGATTACAGGTGTGTACCACACCCGATTTCATGAAGCTTTGAGGGGTTTGTGTGTATAAAGTACACCGCCAGCCTGGAATGCAGTAAACGTTATATAAGTGCGATAGGGTTTTGTTAAACACTTCCTGGGTAGGGGTCTGGATGGTCACAGTTCTGAACCATCCTTGTGCAGGAAATCAAAGCTCAGAGAACCTGAGGAGGGTGCCCAAGGCCATGCAATCGAAATTTAGCCTGGTGGGATGCAAACAGCAGTCCCCGAACCGTGATCTTGGGGTTCTCCAGCCACCTGACAGTGAGGGGTGTAGCTGCTGGGTGTGGGCAGCTCCGGAGGGTAGGGGCACAGGGTGGAGTGTCCCACAGGGGGCACTGTACTCACCGGTTCTCCCCCATCCCGCAGTAGGCCCCAGTGGAGTTCCGGGGGTACAGGACCTGCCGGGGGTCTCCATACACCCAGGCTGGGGACAGTGACACACAGATGAGTCACGGGAGCCGGGGAGCCGCTCACCCACGGCCCCGGCCCCGGGCGGCTGGAGACTCACCCACAACGCCCACCGCAATGTAACCCAAAATGAAGACCAGGAAGAGCAGGCAGCAGATGACGTCGGTGCAGCCCCTGGGAGGGAAGTAGGAGCCTGAGCTGGGAGAAGGGGCTGCGGGCACCACCTGGAGGGGAGGCGAGGGGAGGCGGCGGAGAGCTGGGCAGTGCCGAGAGCTGGTCTCAGAGGGTCTTTGTCGTCGATTCTTTTTAGAAAAGAACCATTTTCTGAGCCTGGCCTGGTGAGACAGGCCTGGAATCCTAGCACTCTGGGAGGTTGAGGCAGGAGAATCACAAGTTCAAACAGCCCGGTCAATTTGGTGACTTCTCGAGACCTTGTCTCAAAATGAAAAAACAAATAAAGAGGACTGGGGATGTGCTGTGGCCGTCACCACCACCTCAACGACTAAGCCGCGTTTTCTGGGCGGGTATCTTTCTCCTGAGGTGCAACACACAAGCACAGCTCAGATACAGCCGCGTGGCAGCGTGTGCGCTCGGCATGCAGAGCCCTGGCTTCAGTATCCACACAGCTGAAGTCCGTGCTTGGCTGGGTGTTTTCCCCCAATACACACCTGTGTAGCCAGCACTCGAGTCCATGAACACAAAGTCCCCAGGCCCAGGAAGCAGACACAACAAAAGCCGTAGGACACCAGGCTCCTCAGGCCGGGATTTTTCTAAGTATTTTCCTCCTGAGGTAAGAGTCTCACTGTGGGGTTCAGTCAGGCTCGAGATCCTCTGGCTTCAGCCTCCCAAATGCTGAGATTGTAGGTGTGTGCCACTGTGCCAGAGTTAAGTTTCTTGCCAACATTTCAGCAAAATCAAAGGAAAAACAGGACCCTTGCCCCCAGGGCAGTGCCCAGAACTCACCTGTTTTTGATGGGGCCTCGAAAGGAGGGGTCATATTGGGCCGGTTTCCCTGAGGGGCATGAGGAGAAAGAGGCACTGAACTCTCCCTTACTACTAGCGCATCCCTCCTGGGTGCCCCCCTGGCACCGGGGTCCTGCCCAGGGCCACAATTGCAGAAGAGGGAACTGGGGAGCCTGACCGCTAGGATCCAGCCACTTAAGTCTACCCGGAAGGCAGGTGGGCAGGAAGGGGCCTTTCTGGGTTTCCGGCTGGCGCCCGAGGCTGCTGGCCTGGGAAGTGGCTGAGATCCCTTGCCCTCAGCCTGGCCTGTTTCTCCAAGGATCCCTGCAGCTGGGTGTGGGGCTCTGTCTCCGGGCTCCTGCCCATCCCTGTCTCCCACTTCCACCCAGCGCCCTGCTCTGGATCGCCAGGATTGGGGAGGCACAGCTGCTGCTCACAGCCGACCCAGGTGCTGCCCCCACACTCTGGCCGAGGCCAGGCCCAAGAACCCGGAGCTAGGGGTGTCAACCACCACAGGGCTGGGCAGGCAGAGGGACCTCCTCCTCACTCAAAGGGACCTCAGTCTCCAAACCACAGCCAAGCTCTGGGAGGCCGGTCAGTGACACCTGAGCTGCCATGGAGGCTGCGGCCACGTCCTGTTCCTGGTCCTCCCTGGGTACACACGTGGGGGAGGTGGGGCCAGGCACCAGGGTCCCCTGTGGGCACGGCGAGGGAGGGTGCAGGGCTGGGCCGGTCTTGGAAGGAGATTTGTTCCCTAGGTGCTGTGGACTCTGGCCCACCGCCCTTACCGGCAGGAGGTCAATGATTGACCCACAGCTCTCCAGGAAGTCTTCTGGAAAATGCTCCTGCTCAGCCCCTTCCGTCCCTCAGAGCGAGCCCGCTCCCCTCCAGCCCCAGGGGACCCCATGGCTGGGGGGGTCGAGGTTGCCCCCTAGCTCCTCTCCAACCGCTGTGCCTCTACCCCTGGGGCAGGCTTTGCCCCCCGTCCTCACAGGTTCTGGAAATGGGCTCCCTGCTCCCTCTTCACTCAGGGCTCACCATGGCAGGAGCCCCCGGAAGGCCTGGCCCATTCCTCCAAGTAACCGAGACCCAGGCATAGCCGGCCCCCAGCCCCTCACAGGGAGCCCAGAGCCTGTCTTGCTATTCCTCACTGCGACAGCCCAGCAAGCGGACCCACAGTGCCCCCTCCTCACGCGCAGGGCCACCCAGCAGCCCTCACTCTCCGTAGGACCCCTCCTCCTCCCTCGGGGCCTGACAGTCGAGCCCCTGAGCCTGGCCCAGGTCTGTTCTCCAGCTGGCCCCCTCCCACCTCCCATCCAGTCTGTTTGCAGGCTCTGCCCTCAGGGACCCACAGCACCCCACCACCTTAAAATCTTCCCAGCCTCAGCTCAGGCAGTGCCAGCTCCTCCATCGCTGTTTCCCGGGCTCTGTCCTCAGGGACCCAGACCGCTGATCTCCTCTCCCAGACCAGCTCAGCTGCCACGGAGCTGGGCCTCCCACCCTCCGGCCCAGGGCGCCCCAGCCTCACCGTAGGCCCCGTCCTCACTCCGCTTTCCCCCCATGGCTCAGTCTCTGGAGTGATTGGAGCCTGAGCCCAGAAGACCTGGCGCTCACCTGCGGCCGCAGCCCCGCCCCACAGCGTCACAGCCCCACCCCGTGGTCCCAGCTCGCAAGTTCCTCCTTCTGAGTCCCAACCGGGCGGGCGCCCCGGGGCTGCTGCTCCAGAGCTGGGGGCTGCCGCTGGGAGCCTTGTAGTCCACAGTAGCCCACGGCAGGAAGGGCCCAGCAAGCTCGAACTGGAAGGCGTTCAGAGTTCCCCAGCCACATCCTTCTGCCGGGGACTCAGCGTCCAGATGTGCCTTCCTCTAAGCCCCGGGCTGGCCTGGCCACCAAAGTCCCCACATCCTCGCCTCCTGCTGGGGCGGCCCACACCAGTCACACCCGCCAGCCTGCTTCACAGACTCTGCCCCCATCCGACTGCTCTCCTCCCCTCCCCACAAGAAGCAGGCAGGCAGTTTATTACTAAACCCAACATTTACTGAGGAAAAAAACCCAGTCGGCGCAGAGGCCCAACTTCAATTCATCCGATGCCAGTGCAGGGGACGGGCGGGCAGCCCCGAGTCAGGCTCCCAGGGAGGAGCCGGCGCCGGGAGCGGGGCTCGGACCTCCAGGGCCCACGGGAGCCTGGCAGGAATGTGTGAAGGGGCGCGGCACCCCAGACTGGCAGCGGAGAGTGGGTGGCCCCGCCGGCAGGGAGGGTCCACGGCCTCTTCTCAGGTGTTGACTGGGGGCAGGGAGCCCAGCTCGGGCAGCAGCTCAGGGTGGGGGTCCAGGCGGGCCAGGCGGCTCTGCTCCAGCGCGATGGCCTCGGCCGAGTGCTTGCACTTCTCGGAGCCACACTGGCAGGTGAAGTACTTGCTCTTGATGTCCCAGAAGCGGTCGCCATAGTCAAAGCTGCCAGGAGCACCAGAGCTCATGGGGTTTGGACTCTGGCACCCAGAGCCCACCCCAGAGACCCCGTGGGCCCCGCTCCCCGGAAGGACCCAGGCCCTGTGAGCTCTGCAGACTCCAGCTTTGCTGCTGCCTCAGAGCCCATCACACACGCAAGCTCCCGAGCCCTCTGCGTCAGTGACTGTCAGGACTTTGTCTTAAGCCATCTGTGCCTGGTGTTCCATTTCTGGAATGGCATGGAACAGTGGAACACGATAAAACTTTTCCTCTTCAAGCTTCTGTTCCTTAAATTTTTCTAGGTAACATATATGGATTTTATGCAAAAATTCAAATACTCTAAGCTCCAGCATAAACGGGCTGACCAGTCACTGAGGTCTGAGCAGCTCCGAGTCCCTGCCCAGCAGCAGGTGCCCTCTCCAGGCCCCGTCCCAGGCTCCCGCAGGCCGCCTCACCCCAGCTCCTCCCCAGTCCGGATGTCTCGAGAGCTGAAGAAGGCGATTCGTGGGAACCGCAGGTCTTGGTGCAGCATGAAGACGCGGACGGGGATGATGTTGGGGTCGCACAGGTGGTTGATGAAGCGGCTGATGTTGCCATAGTAACGGGCATCGATGCAGTAGACCTCCCCGTCCTGGGGGGAAGGCGCCTTCCTCACTCTCCCCATCCTGGCAGCCTCTGCGCATGGACCTTGGTTCCTCCACCCCAGCTGTGCACCTGCTGGCTGCCAGGGGGCCCAGGAGCCCAGCCACCGGGAGTAGGGGGACTGTGGGGCCCCACCCACCTTGTTGTCCAGGTCGAAGAGGTAAGAGTCGTCCTCTCGCACATCAGCCTCGGCATCTGAGATCAGCTCCCCTACGTACCTGTGGGGCAGGACCAGCGGCTCTGAAGGTGAGCAGGTTGGGGTGGGTCTGCAGCTTCCCCGATCCTGCCCTGCTCCTCTGCTGCCTGACCCAACAGATGGGCCGAGGGCACCACTACCAGGGAACAGTGGGTGTCAGGGGGACTGGGAAAAAGGCCCGTGAGGCACTGCCCAGGATGCAGTCCTGCCAGGTGTGGGCCCTGTGACGGGGAAGTGAGAGGACACGGCTGTGTGGGCTAGGTGGTTGGGACAGGCAAGGACAGCCTGGGAGCTGGAGGTCTGACAGGAGTGGACAGATCCCAGGAGAGCCAGGGTGGACAGATGGGGTGGGGTGCAGAGGTGGTGCAAGGGCAATCTCTGGCAGGTCTGAGGCCAGAAGTTGAGAAGCCAAGGACAAGGGACAAGAACTAGATGGTCCCTTGAAGAGACAAAGCTCCCACAGCCCCCACAAGGTGAAAGTAGACCCTGGAGGTGAGCGCCAGAGCCAGGAAGACTGAAGGAGGGGAGGGGAGACAGAGGCCGGGTGCCCCCAACTCACTCGCAGATGAAGGTGCCCTGAGGGATGGTCTGCAGGGCACGGACGCCCCAGCCCATCTTGGCTGTGCGGTAGAGCTGCAGTCGCACCCTGGGGTGGGAGAGAGGAGACACTGGGTGCTGGGCCTGAGAAGCTGGGGAGGCAGGCAGGGGGAGGCGGGCTGGTCCTCACTTGATGCCGCTCTGCACCACCCGGTTCTTGCAGTTTCTCCAGCAGGAGCAGGCCTGGTTACACTCGAAGATCAGCGGGGGCTCGATCTTGTTAAACTCCTGGAGCAGCCGCCCGTCCTAGGAGTGGAGGTGGCAGTTTTGTGGGGCCCACTTCAGCTGCCCAGGACCCCTAAGACTCCCCAGGAAAACCCAGAGCTGGGGACGAGGTGGAGCCCGAGGCCGGAGGTCGGAGACCAGGAAACACTAGGGCCAGAACATGATTTGCATACACCTGGGCACAGGCCCAGCCCTGCCCTGCCCTACCCCTTCTCCACCACAAGGAAAAAGAGGCCCCAGAGCTGAGGGCTGGGGAAGGAGCAGCCACGCCCGGCGGCCAGGCTGGGACACCCACCTTGTCGTACCAGCATCGGATGCTGAGCTGGCCACACAGGCAGTTGGAGCTGGAGCAGTCGTCCACACACGTGCAGTGCTGAGGGGGGCGCAGGTCAGCACCGTCCCAGCTGCCAGGCCCACTCCCCCGTCCCCGCCCTCTGCGCCTGCTGTCTGGGACTCATGTGCTAGGACAGGGATGGCGAGGGCCCAGGGTCAGGGAATCCTGAGGCTGCTGACGGGTGTCCTGGGTCACACTCATGGGCCGTCTGTGGGGGGCGCCCCACCTGCAGGTGGGTGATGTTGCGGTCGATGTTCATGGTGGACGTCTCGCAGTTCTCCGAGATGTACTTGTAATCCTCGGGGCAGGGCTCCCCATCCACCCCATTCACGCAGGGGATGGGCACATTCTCATAGCCCCTGGCCACGTCCCTGTGGAGGACATAGGCTGGCTGGGACGGGGGAGGGGCACCGGAAAGGGAGGCTTGGCGGGGGGTTCATCCGGGTGTGGGGAGTAAGGTTCTGGATAGAGTGTAAGACGCCTAATTACAGCTGAATTTCAGGTCAACAAGGAATCACATTTTAGCATAATTTCATCCCAAATAATGAACAGGACTTTTTTCTTCGCAGTCTGGGGACTGAACCCGGGGGCCTCTCACACACTCCAGGAGTGCTCTAGTGCTGAACTATTCACCAGGCCCTTTTCATTTTGAGACAGTCTGGCTAAGATGCCCAGGCTGGCCTCAAACTTAAGATCCTCCTGCCTCAGCTTCCTGAGCAGTCAGGATAACAGGCATGGGCCCCGTGCCAGCACATGGGACATTTTCATACTAGAAATACATGCACATGTTCATCTAAAAATATTTTTTGTTTTGAGATTGGGTTTCACTATGTTGCTCAGGCTGGCCTTAATCCTCCTGCCTCAGCCTCCTGAGTGGCTGGCATCAGAAGCACTGCCTGGCTCTGTCTGAAACTCTAACCGGTGTCCTCTCTGTATCTGCTCTTGTGGGAGAGACAGGGCTGTTGTGGGGACTTGATGCATGGAAGGGGATGGGAGCCATGCTCACCGGCAGATGATCTTCTCCGTGCGGATGGCCCGGTTTCCCACGCCAAGGCGGAGCTTGCGGTTGAGCTGGAGCGCAAACCACACATCCGAGCGCTCTGGGGTCAGGTCCCACGCCGTGTCCCCCTCCTTGTTCCGCAGCTCCGGGTTGGCCCCCCGAGACAGGAACAGCCTAGGGGACAGGATGCGGGTGGTCTCGCGTCCTGGGGGTCCGGCTGGGGCGGGCAGGGCAGGCGGATGCTCACAGCACACAGTCGTGGTAGCTCTCCCGGGCTGCGATGTGCAGGGGCGTGTCCCCGTGGTAGTTGACGGCGTGCAGGTCACAGCGGGCGTTCAGGAGGACCTCGGCAATGGCAGCACTGCCCGTGAAGGAGGCCCAGTGCAGGCAGATGTTCTCCTCCTGCTGGCGGGAGGGGTCTGTGAGCAAACCCAGCTGCCGCCGGCTGCGCCCTCCTCCGGCCACCCGCGCACAGGCACAGGGGCCCTCACGTTGTCCGTGAGTGTGACGTCGGCGCCCCGCGTCAGCAGCATGCGGATCACGTCGATGTGCTTGTGCTCTGCGGCCCAGATGATGGGCGTCCACCCGCCGCTGTCCTGTGGGTGGGGCACCGCGTGAGGTGGGAGGATGAATCCAGCTCCACCCCTCCGGTGCTGGGCCTGTTTCCTCTCCTATAACACGGGAATGCCAGCGCCCACTACCACTATCTGCGGAGGCTGCAGAAAGGAGCTGGGCATTTTTCTCCTTCTGGAACATGTATTTCCGAGATCTGCCTACGCCAAGTCCTATGGGCAGGACCGGCCCGGAATAACAAATCCCCGAGGACGCAGATGGGACTCTAGCGTTTTCTGCTTCACAGAACAGGGGCCTCTCAGAGAAAACAGTAGGGCCTGAGTGCTGCGAGGCCACAGACTGCAGACGCCCGGGACGGGGACAGACAGGGAGGACAGCTAACGGACTGGACCGGCAGGACGGAGACATTAAGGTGGGAGATCATTCTTCTGGAATCTAACAGAGAGGACAGGGCGGAGAGGCAGGCAGGTGGTGGAGGAAGGGAAAAGCCCAGCAGCCACCAGCGGGGAGCCACAGGGCTGCTGACCTGGGCGTTGACGTCCACCTGCCCTGTGCTCAGCAGCAGGCCGACCATTTCCAAGTTGCCAATTTTGGCTGCGTGGTGGAGGCAGGTGGAGCCATCCTCCTCCTGCGGAAAGAGAGGCATGGCAGTGGGGCCCTGGCAGGGCTGGCCGACGCCCTGGCCGCTGCCCCCATTGCCCCCACTGCCGCACCTTGCTGTAGACGCAGCCGCCCCGCTGCACCATGTAGCGCGCCACCTCTAGGTGGTTGTTCACCACGGCCTCCATCAGCGGCGTCCGCTGCTGCTTGTCCACGGCGTTGATGTTGGCTCCGGCCTGCAGGGAGGGGTAGTGGGCTGGCACCAGGACGGGCAGGGCAGGGCAGGGCCGGCGGGCGGGAACCCCGCTCACCTGCAGCAGCACATGGCAGATCTCCACAGAGCCCTTCTGGGCAGCCGCGTGCAGGGGCGTGCGCTTGCTCTGCTGGTCGCTCTGGAAGTTGGGGTCCAGGTTGTCCACTGTGGGGAGAGCCCGCCGCACCGGGAGGAGGAGGAACAGCGGTGAGCAAGCTATGGGGCGGTGGCGCTTCTTTCAGAAGGCTTCTTAGCGCCTCTACTGGGCTCCCTCAGGCCTGCCTCCACCAGAACACTCGGCAGAGTAAGCGTGCCGGCTGTCCCTGCAGGCCCTGTCCCTCAGCAGAGCTGTGCACTGAGCAAGACAGCTGGTCTCTGCACTCGGTGCGGGGAAGGTTTAAGTTCGTTTATCACGTGAGCACAGGACTGGGACCAGCAGGTGGGGGGACCAGGCTAAGGGGCCCGGGGTCAGTCACGACTGTGTCCCTGTGGTGCTGCCTACTCACACAGCATCAGGATCACCTTCTGGAGCTCCCCCTGCTTCACAGAGAGGTACAGCTGCCGGGGGTGGAAACGCAGCTTCTTCCGCCTGCCGGGGAGGGGAGCGGGCGGCTCAGCACCGAGCACCCATCCACCCAGCACCCGCTCCTGCCGGCAGCAGTGCCCGCTTACCTCTCTGACTCCTGGATGACCAGGGCCTTCTCCAGGGCCTCACGGCCTGGCCCCAGTGGCAGACCCACGGCTGAGAGGCAGCCCCCGCTGGGCAGCGTCAGGGAGGGTCCTGAGCTGTCGATGGTGTCGGCCAGGGGGTCGCAGGGTG